ATTTTTTGGTATAACGAATAGAATTGCATCTGTTTTCTCAGAACTGGTACTTTTTTTATGAATTCTGCTTCATCACTGCACCATATTAGTCTAAGTATACAGTCTATATAGTCTATAGTATATATATATAGCAGTTCAATAGCAAGCTTCATTCCTACTTTGCTTTGATTTTGGCTTATTCTGTTCTTGATGATCCAACTGAGAATAACATGTAAAAGCATGATTTACTTATACACTACGGAAGCAAGTTGGCCAATCGGATGACTAACCAGCACCAGCAACACATTTCAGCCCGTTCTTCAAGGTTGAGAGTTCACTTGTCTTCAAACGATTTTGTTCTTCATCGCTGTTTTTTATGTTTCAGGTCAGGAGGTCAAAACTTTGGTATTGGAGTATTCATTCGATTGGCGAAGTTTTCAGAGCACTGTGTATAAGCAAACCGTGTTTAATACTGTTTGCAGTATGAAAAAAACAAACCAAGTGCTCAGTGGAAAAGCCAACGAGAAACAAAATTCATTCCTCATGACACATGTCAAGGACTTTTAGCGGTTTATTAACATTTTTGGTCAAAGTGTTGCATTTCAAGGTTCAAAAATAACTGGTCATGATTTAAACATATTTACGAAACTCATAATGTACCTTACTCAAAATCACTTATTATTGTTTCTTTGACCTTTGAGGTACTTGCATTAATTTAAAATTCCTTGGCCTGGACCAAGTTTATTCCTCCCGTCAATTAGCTTTGAAGAGAATCTGGAAAGGGCGAGTTAAACTCGCCTGAGTCAATGCCTCATCATTATATACCCTTCGGAAAATTATATTCAAGCAGCACGGACGAACTCACTGCTGCTTGTTTGACCGCCCCAGGTCATGGAATGAGCTTGAAACTTCATAATTTAGACCAAGTCTATGTCTTCTGTAAACCGGTGGATCATCCCAGAAAGAATCAAATGTATTTGCGTTTGCCGCGTCGAACCGTTACTTACAAGTGGCATACTACTGTAACTGAAATGTCGTTATCACGTATTTCAAACCTATGACACTTTTAGGCATGTGTCCGTCATGGAAACCTTTTCAATGTGTTTACGGCGAATGCATTCCTTTGCAGTATCTCTGCGATGGATCTCGAGACTGCACTAACGGCTACGATGAAGACATCAACATGTGTACTGCTGGTAAGTTCGTTCGTTTACTCAAATAAAGTACCGCATGAGAACAAGAGCAATGAAAAGACATGCAGTATGTTACTAAATTTCTAATGGGAACTAAAAAAGTTTGCAAAGAGCGTTTTCAAATTGTGAATTCCCTTAGCACAAAAGAAACAAGGAAATGAAAACTTCTAGCGGTGGGGACATTGAATCCTTGTAACATTTCCATTGTGAGCTTCATAATTAAATGCCGGTCTTTGCTTCGATGCCACCATCAGTCCACAATAGTTTTCTGAATGTCACATCTACAACTCGGTTGTAAAGGCATAATAAAAATAGCGCTTGTGTGTCTGATTTGGAACAGTGGAAGGGGGGTTAGTGATCTGAACGCACACGATCTTTCGCCTACAACTCTTACGATCTACCAAAGATCGTACGCTACCGTGGCTGAACAAAAGAAAAACAAAAATTACCACAGGGATGGAGATCTCTGCTAAACTTCTTTTGCTATCATTCCACCGTACCCTACGGTGCAGAACTGATGTTTTCACGATGGGGTCAGCACTCTGCAGCGAGTATTATTCTGCTTTTTGCCCACAGAGCGATGCTCATTTACCTTCTTCGGAATGAGAACACACATTTGAGGGCAGTAAATTGTAGTAAGGATTTATCACTTTGGAAATGCTAAATCTGAGTTTCAGCAGGGCATAAAAAGTATCTTTTAACTGCAAATTCTCTTGAGTAACGAATCCACCTACCTATATTTCGAGCGATGCGTGGTTCTCGTCCAAACGCTGACGCAAGGTTCGAGCATCTGCTGAATACCTGCAGAAGGAAGACAAATGTCGGTTGTTGAAACGTCCTGACGTTGAATGGCGACGAAGCTTTCGACGACGTCGCCCGTATAGTAGGCCGATGTAAGCCATGACATTCACAGAATTGCAAAATTCTAACTTCCTGGCCACTGCGAACAGCTGCTGGACAACAAATGGCTCTTCTGCTGGTGAAGCAGAGAAGACGACCGCCGAGAGGCAGGAGTTGCAGCACACCCATCCCCCAAGGCATCGAAACACTAGTTTCCGTCGATGATAGGATAATAATAGGCAAATTTGCCACACGGCCTGCCAGAGGAAACGTGGCAGTTGTGTACGCCTCTGCGAACCTGGCAGAAGGTCAGAAGAAGGACCAGTTATATTAGTGTCTACGCAGGATCCTATTTTGACAGCCACGTCATCAGTTATCGATCATTATTAGAGACCTCAACGCGCAAGTGAGGGCCGATCATGCGAGCTGGCCGAGAGTGCCGGGTTAATGCGGCTATGGCAAAGCGAATGACAATTGACGCCGCTTGCTGACCGTTTACGCCTCGTACAGCACGTTCATCGGCAGGTCGAAATTCCCACATAGAGGAATTCATTGACACGGGTAGGAAGCACCGCGAAGGAACTTCAGAAACCAGATTGATCACGTGATCACCAACAACAGTCGGCGAATTCTCCTCCACGATTCACAATCCAAGCGCGGAGGGAACATCAGATCAGATCACATCCAGGTAGTCGTGAAAGCCGCCTCCACCTAGCAACATCAGCGAAAGCGGCGACGATCAAGGGTGCATGACTTTAAACCTGATTAAGTTGGCTAATCCGGAAATTCGCAAGGCGTTCAAGATAGAACTGCCAGTGGATTCTGTGTCGCAGGAGTGACGAACCAACAGTCGCCAGAATTTCTTTACGAAGAACTCAAAAAAGACATCCTTGAGGGAGCAGAGAAGACAATTGGCTTCACTAAAAGGAGCATGAAGCTGTAGGTTTCTGCCGAAACCCTGAAATTTCGCCAGGAAAGTTAAAACGGAAGCGGTGAGGTTGAAAAAGGCAGAAGCAAGAGGGGTTCGAAGATGGTGCAAAGACAGGCTGCCACTTTCAGTGACAAGAATAGAAAGAAGAAGGCGAGTACGGGCCTGATACACAGCAAGAAGAAGGAACATCTGTTTGACGATACCATTCGTCAGAATCGAGGGGCCCAACATTTCGAGGAACTGCTGAATAGACGCAGTCATGCAGCCAGACTCTCTTTTGAAGAGGCACCTGTAAGGACATGGAAATCATCTTCACAGCTTTAAAAGCCGAAGAATTTACCACCCTCATAAAGTAGTGCTGAAGCTCAAAGACTGTGTATATCAGCGAGAAATCATCTTGCTTCCAGTGCTGGAGAAATCCTTCATGCGAATTGTCCTCGGCAAATTCAAGAAGAAAATGGAGGATTCTCTGAGACGAACTAGACGGGGTTTCACACTAGAGACCCACGCATAGTCGAAGAATGCCGGAAGTTATAGTTCCCCTGACGCTCAGCTTTCATGGATTTCAAATAAGCTTTCGATTCAGCTCATTGTCATTCCATGTGGCACATCCAGCGTCATTACTGTATCCCCGAAAAGATCATCGGATTGATGGAAAAACTGTGCGAAGGAACATCACGCACAATTCAAACTGAAGGCGGCCTGTCTGACCGGTTCAAGATCTCAACTGGAGTCCGAAAGACGCAGTACTTTCGTCGCTGCTGTTCAACATCGTGCTAGTTAACTACGCGATGCGGAAGTGTCATGTCGACGAATGAGAAAGGATCCACTATCGAACCATGAAGAAGCTCCAGATACCCAGCCGTTCACCTTACTGATCTGGAATACACGTACAGCCTAGATATGCTTTGCGACCACCTCACTGTTTGTGTGTGCGCAACGGCAAAAGAGGTGTGACAACAAATCAATCCGAAGAAGACACAGGTTTGGAAGCACCAACTGCGACAGACGCCAGTGACATCCAGTGGAGTAGCTAAACTGTGGAAGAAGTCGACCACTTCAAATACCTGAGCGCCATCGTGACAAAACGCTGGATGTTGCGAACCTAGACAACATCAGAAGCATAGGATTAGCGTTACGACCATTCGAAAGTTACGGGAAATATGGAACAGCAGAATTGTGCCAATAACTAAGAAAGTCACCATCTTGAAGGCGGCGGTGTTACCCATACTCAAATATGGTCTAGAGAGATCTTCAATACTAAGGGGTCCAGAAAATGAACCGGACCCGGTGCGACGTCGATGCCTTGGAACCAAGCTGAAAGTTCGGTGGTGCTACCGAATATCCGATGACCGTCTACTGAAAACCATCAGAGTGAAGAGCCTTTCAGAACAACGAGATTGCTACTTTCGGTTCGGTAAAAAGATTCAAACATAAAAGAACAATGAAAACATCTAAGAAATGTTGCTTTTGCGGAAGTACCAATCACAGTCAAAGAAACTTAGGCAGCCAGTTCGAAGCTGGCATAATCTACTGGAAGCAAAACTGGTCGAGACGAAGTGAATCTCTTTGGTCGTGGTAGTTAATGCTTAAATTAATCTCAGAAACATCTTCCCTGCAAAACATAAATCCAGAGCTAACCGAGCTGTTACAGCTCTATGACCATGGATGACGATGGCAATAACGTTGGAGCGTACAAACCTCTAGAGTGGGCGTGGGTATCAAGTTATCTTGTTCAGCAAAGACTTTCTTACAAGCAATTTCATCTTTGGTGCATGCCATATTTTAAGTTTACAATGATTCATGTCAAAACCTCCCGTTGTATTCCAATGAAAACGTTAATGTTGATGGCAACCCTCAATTGCCTTTCAAAATGCACTGTCACTGCTTCAGCAAAAGTACCTTTCTTCAGGACAAAAGAAAGACACAGTAATGGCAGCCAATTAAAATTTGATAGAATAGTTTCAGCTCTACGCCAAAGTAAGTCTCATTTAATTGTTATATGACGATCACTCTTCTGCACTGAACCATTGGTAATACATAATTAAAAGATTCAGCCACTGTGCGTTGCCATTAACATGACAGAATGTTTTGATATAGATCATGCGAAACTCAATGTGCTGCGTGTATCAGTGATGAAATTTGTTACTAGAGCATAGTCGCTGGCTCGGAAAATTAAAGGCACAATCGCCATCGAAAGGCTATAGGCTCCAATCTTGTTGTCTGCGCATGTTTCCCTGATGATGAAGGTGATGATCCTGATGATCAGGTCAACTATCCAATGTTACCGAGAAACTGTTGTAGAGGAACGCGTCTGATTTGCCATTAAATATGCCATTAAAATTCGATGTTATTTTTCATTTATGAAGCATCAATTTTCAAAACAATAACTTCACGTTTTTGTTTTATTTCAGCCCGGCGCCCACCGGCGATTGAAACCGCGGCGCTGTTCATGCAGCTGAACGCAGTGCACGGTGAGGATTTCCTGGCTAACTTGTTTGGAGAAAAGGCAAGAGGGAACTTCGTGCGCTATGGAGGCGTTCTAAAAATAGCCATCGCATTGTCAGGTTAGTAGCTGTGCTCTGAATAAACACAAACGCTTTCGATATATGTCAGTATTAATTTGAAATGCAGGGAAACAGGAAAAGGTATTTAAAGCAGATCGCACATATATCGATTTTCGCGACATTATAGAGAAGGGGCAAGTTCATTTCCATTTTGTCATGATTAACAATTCTCCGAAGTGCAAACCTCAATCGAGCATGGGAAATTTATATTTAACGCACGTTTAAATTTTATGGCCCAGCTGCAGTCACTCTTGAATGACCCATGCGACAAAGCAATCATCCATATTCTTTTCAGGCACTGTTTTTGATCATTTCCTGTTCATTTCAAAGAGGCAGGTGATGGTCATATTCTTGGATATTTCGAAAAAATAATCGAAACAACTGTTTAAATTTTCTCGTGACTGCAACGGAAGCAAATCTTTTTACGCCTTCATAATTAGAAAAAAATTAATTTTCATTATTTTTGCAAAATTAGATTTGGATCTGTTTAGTGGAAGCAAGTATTCATTTTTCCGCGGTTCCAGCAACTGGGCAAAATGTAGATATACACAGCGAGAAAAGGAAACGCTATAAACGACAGTCAGAGAAATTGTAAAAACTTTGATTACGTCATGAAATTTAATTTTTCCTGCATAACATCACTTCAACTAATAAAAACAAAAAATTTTCAACGTAACCTGTGGCGCTAGTTGCTGATAATAACATTACTGTGTTGACTGAAGGCGCTCAAAGTGGCGTCCTGCATACCATTATCCTATCATTATCATGATCTGTCTCCCAAGAAGGCATCCAGAAGTAACATTTTCCATAATCTGTTCTGCATGATAGCAACTGCATTGCTGACAGTGCTTTATCTTCGTGCGATTTTGCCCAGCACAAAGCTGTTCCATATAGATCATTCCCGCACAGGCAGATTTACATTAGCGAGTTCTGATTTTGCAAATCCACTCATTTTCGATATCCGGCGAGTTTCATGTCTGACTATTTCGAAGTGATAAATTATCCAAAGAAACTTAACGTCGTGGTTTATACGAAACGAAATCGATGATTTACTAAATATCTGAATACATCGCAGTTTCGCATAAAGATAGCATCTGGTTTAGGCCGGAGTTTCTAGCCCTAAACAGGCAAGTGGTAAAATGCACTGATTCGTTCATTTTTGTGCATGAAAGTAAGATGAGATATTCCCTATCAAAATTCTGGCCAGCGAGAGAACAAGCTGACTGCCTGTTACTTAGTACTAGTTCTTCCTTTGACAAGCACTAGTGGAATACTTGGCTTTCTTCCATCTTTTCAATATCGCCTTGACCAGCAAGTCCTTTCCGTAGGCTAATTCACGCATTTAACATTTCCATACCAGTTTTTATTCATCGCACTGCCCATAGCCTGGGTACGAAAGACGCTTAGCAAATTTTCTCATACATTCCGGGTGCCTTTTATGGTGTTTCGTATCAGCGCAAAAAAGAAAATTTTCAGTAGTAACATGATGATGCACCGATCCGAAAGTTACTGGCATAACCCATTACGGCTCGGGAATTTGTCTTTATAAATTGCTTGCGAAATCTATTATCGAAATGATGGAAAAGAGTCAAGAACCATTTAATCCGTATCCATCAAATATGACTAGCGCGGTGTCGTTGATGGCCAAAACGAAACTTTTTGATCAAAACTATGGTATGAGCAGCATACGGTAAATAGATTAATCGGCATTTCCAGCATTTGCCTTAAGTAGACTTGAAATTAGAGCCGAAGCTTGATCCAATTCCATAAACAAAATTTTCGTCTATCAAACACTTTCGACCTTTGAAGCAAATTATGTTTATCTTTCTCGCAACTGCAACAGATTTAAAAGTTTCAAAAGTAGTGAGGTCCATACTTTCCATAAACTCATTTTACTTTTTGTTACATAATTATTTTTATACTGACGTAAAAAACAGAAAAGTGAAATATGCGTGAAAGAGGATGGGCAAGAAAGGCAGAAATGTTTCGGAAACATTTTGATAACATTCTGACTCATTAATTATCACATGAACATAAGCGACTAGGAATATAAGATACAGATTTCATGATTTTCCAGTTAAATTAATGGCCGTCAGGGAGCAAATTTTAATCTCAATACTTTGCTATCAAAATTTCGGGGAGACATTAAGAAGCAATAAATTCAGTGGTACAGACCAGCCTGGCTAATGGCTATCACCTTTAGATGAGAATGACTATAACGGCCTTATTACGTACGAGTTCGGGTTCAACACAGAAAATTTGGACTAATAAGATCCATCGAGAGCGCCGTACATTTCACAGTAACGCTATATTTTATTAATTCGTTCAAAATGCTAACCGTAGTTTAAACTAACCAATAACGAACGACTAATGAACTTGTTTCAGAAAGTCCAACGTACAGGCAGTTCGCTCAATCAATCCATATGCCGCCCAGAGAAATGATGTATTTCGTCAGAACGTTAGAAGCGCTGTCCGAAAGCAACCTTGACGATGTGAAAGATCTCGGCTTCAGCAATAGCGAAATTCCTGTAATGAAGTTCTACACGGACAACTTACGTCGAACGGGATTCTTCTAACGCGAACTGTTTGGAAATTTCAAGTGCGGAACATGACGAATTTTTCGGCGTAATTTTTTATCTTTTGGCAAACCAAACTTTGAAGAATATTTCTTAAAAATCTCATTAAAACAAAGTAAAGTTCTGCCACAATGTCGATAACAAGCCATAATTCTGGATTTGCTCAAGATACTCGTGATCCTGTGACAGAGGCGACATAAACCAGACGTAATATTTCCAGTGTGTATCACTTAAAGGAATGCTTCTTTTCAATATAAATGAAGTCAGTCTTCCTTTTTGCTATCTAACTGAGAACTTTCTCACTTTGGCCATTTCTGTCGTAACTCTGAATGAAAATCTTTCACGATGGTCGCAGTTTTAACTTCGCAGCTTACGCTTTAGAACAACGCAGTATACCTGTTGTCGAGATCAGGTCATGCATCGGCAGAACAGTTTCATTCGCACATGAGCGAGCAATAGCATAAGTACCATTCCTTACCGTTCCTGCGATGCTTAGCTGGTAATACTGCCCTAATCATGATTTTGATTTTGATTTTTTTGAGTCTTTCAAACGCATTTTCTAAATAATTTCAAAAAATTTAAAAACCAACTTGCTTGAACAGATCAACGTATGACTGGCCGAAATATATTGTTGTTCTGACTGTTCAAGATACGTACAAACAGTAACGATGAAGTTCTACTGCGATGCGCAGGACAAAATCAGTCTGAACAATCCACTGTTTGCGCGCGCTTCTCGCTGAGCACGTGGAAAACAATATGAGCATCAATTTCGCCTCAAAAGGCACTGATCAAAGAGGACCACTGTCAATTATAACAAACAGCCTAACGCGGATGGCGGACAAGATTGTGGCGAGCTTGGAGAAAAGTAGCCAAGAGCTGGAACACGACCGTTAATTGCTGTCGTCTTCCTCAGAACTTCGCGTGTCCTCTTTTGCACTAGATTCTTCGTGGCTGTCATTAGAAGTTACGTCATTAGCCTCTTCTGACTCTTCAGCAACGTCCATTTCAGCCACTGTTTCTTCAACTTCAGAATTACTCTGGTCACCACCTTCTGCTAAACAAGCAAATGAAATGCGTCAATAAAATTTAATCAACCATTTAAAGTTAGTGATGCAAAAATTACGATTCACTCTCTCAAGACTACATTCTTCTCTGTAGCTCATCTGTGACAAAACTGTCATAGTAACTTTCTAATAACAATAACGGATATTAATCCGGATCCAAACATCTTACATTCTCGTTCTCTTTTTCTGTTACAGTAATTAATTCAATAATTAATCATTTTTACTCCATATTTTATTTTGCCGATCTGTTTTTTATTCTCAGAGAAATTGAGTTTTTTCATGATGTTATTCAAGCACTAAAACTTTTTATTTCTAACTGTCTGACACTGAAACCTCTTGGTCACGTCACATATGAATTAACCCAGCATAAGCAACTCCACATCCAATAGTGAGTTGATTATCGGTATAACAAGCCCCAACCTCCATCATATATCAGCGCCACGGAACGCCAGCAATCAATACATAAAATCGAATATCACGAGGAAACATACGTAATTCATACTCAATATGCGCCATGGTGCTCTCCATGATATAAAGTCTGTGTCTTTTAGCAGGAAACAAGCAAGGGTCGCATGACGGTAAAATATGGTAGCGAAATAAGCCGCAATGGTAACGCTGACAGTATAAATCATGAATTCTGAAATGGTCGGTGACGATACTATAAGAAAAGAAGGTCTGGAAGACAAACGTCCCTATGCTGTTGTTAAACTTGAGAAACGACGATACTGATTTTATATGCGAAAGAAACGATGACGATTCACGCACTGAAAAGACCAAAGGTAAGAGGTGATACGGCCAGAAAACAGAAAGTTATGTCCTTCGCGCTGATTGGGCTGTCAGAACCCTAAAAAATTTGGCAAAATGATGTTACTTAGTTTCAGTATGGTAGTGATCAGATAGCTGAGTTAGACCAAACAGCGCTGAAATCGAACTTTAAAAATTGTTGGTTCGAATTCCGTTTGTTTTCTTGCCCTTCTCCTGCAACGAAACGGCGGTTAACAATAAAAAATGGACGCTATACCAGAAGGAAGTCGTCACAAATGACATAAAAGTGTAACAAGGATTGACATCTCATCCATTACTAATTATCATTTTTATACACAACATGTTAATTAGCGTGAATTACTTTTAAAGGACTCCCATTCACATTACTGGTCGTAGATCATAAGCAAAACTTCTAAAAGCTCCACTGAAATAATAAGGCCAAGAGACTGAATAAGAGGCTTTCTTAGACGAGTCGCTGGCCTTACGCGTCTCGACATGGTCCGGAATAGTGACATCCGGAAGAGC